CACGCCAACAACATATGGCTCATCGCCACGCGCCCCGAGCACATCGCCGTTCTGACCCAGGAGCTGCGCGACGCAATTCACTTGCAAAAGCTCAGTTGGATGCTCACTTCAGCGACCCTCATCTGGGGGGCCCATGGCAGGACGAGAATCCATGATATCTGCGTCGTGCCCTGATGGCGCAATCTTGCGACATGAACGGGCGGACAGCACGGAGTGCTTGGGTCCCTTGTTGGATGGGGCGGGGAGTTCGACGGCGAGTCAGCAGCACCGCCGCTCAAAAGCCGAACGGAAGTTACGGGCTCATTCAAGACAGCTTTTCGGACCTGCCGGCACTCGCGCCAAGATGCAGGCGCGGGCCGAATCCCCAAACACATCGGCTCCATTCGGTTCGAGTTCTCGGACAGTGACATCCTCGTGCTCATTTGCGCTGAAGCGCCGGGAGTCTGGGCGGCCCCGGAAAGTCTGGAAAATGAGACGCGCGCCGCAGGAGACACAAGCATCCGCATTTTGAGTTGGGCCGCAAAATGGTGAGTCCGGTTTGTACGCCATTGCGTACTACGGAACATTTTCAGGGCCGCTTGGAGTGACAGGGGCAAGCGCTCATCGACCAACGCCATCTGGTCTGCCAGGGCTGCACATGGTGGGATTCGACCAAAGATGTTCGCGTCGAGACGCGGAAGCGGGAACTTTGCGCGCAAATCCTTCCAATGGCGACAGCTTTCTGGGATGATGCGTTCGTATTCGTGCACGGGCACGGCCGGGGGAGCATGGTTGACAGTTGCAGCATCATGGCGGACTGGAAGAAGCATGATTAGCATTTCATCAACAACATCTGTGAACGATGGGATCTGCCACTCTTGCCGGGAAAGAATGACCGCGTCGAGGAGACGACGAGACGGCAGACAGGGCGCCCGCGATCCAAAGCGAGCCCGGATGGAGAGGACAATCCCTCCGGAAGCAAAGCCCCCGGCTGTCGAGTGGGAGGCTGTTCGTGGACATTTCGTGGCCATCGCGGATTGCCCGCCGTTGAAAGATGTGGTACGCGGCCACATGCGACTCCACATGCCGTGCTTGCGGCCAGTATTCGCGAGCATCACGCGGAAATTGCTGGGCGCACTCGCGCGGTGCAGCCGCAACGGTTGCCCGATGGTCCGATGCACCCTGTTGCGTCTGCACCCCGCCGAGCGGGCGCGACGGCCATCGGCGATTGGAGAGCACCTCCAGCCAGGCAGGGCGGGCCCGAGGAGTGGACGAGGCACGGCGACTACAGGATGATGACCCACAGAGCGTCATCACCCAGCAAAGAAGGGACTCCAGCACCAGCGAGAAAACCAGGAAGCAGCCAACCGTCACGAAAATAACCCCCACGAACACCGCGAAGTATACCACCACGGGCGCTGGCACGAAAACCGCCACGAACGCCAGCGTGAGGAAGACATCCGCGAACAGCCCCCTAGAGAAGGCCTCCACGAGCACACCGATGAAGAATACTTCCACGAACACTCCGCAAAGCATACCTCCAAGGGCACGAGCACGACGAAGACATTCACGAGAAGCCTCCCGGAAAAGTCCTCCGCGAGCACACGTCGCGAGGACCTACACGAGCGCCTTCCGAAGAACGCGCCCTCGAACGTGAGCGGAAAACCTCCTCGAGCATCCCCCCGTGGAAGACTTCCAGGGGCAAGTCCATGAAGAAATCTCCGCGATCACGTTCCGAAGAAGGCTTTCGCGAGCACCAGCACCAAACCTCCACGAGTACCCTCCAGAAAGAGGCATCCGCGAACACCTTTCAGAATAAGACCTCCACGAGCACCCTCCGAGGAAGGCCTTTAAGAACGCGGGATCGAAGACGACCTCCGCAAGCATCCTTCCAGAGAAGTCCTCCACGAGCACGCCCATGAAAAAGACCCCTCTCTGCGAACACGCTCCGAGGAATGCCTTTTTGCGAGCACCAGCGCGAAGAAAATCTCTTCGAGCACCCTCCAGGACAAGGCCCCCGCGAGCACTTCGACGCCGAAGACCTCGACGAACACATTCCGAAGAGGCTTCTGTGAGCACCAGCGTGGCGAAGAAAAAAATATTACCTCCACGAACACCCTCGAAGAGAAGGCCTCCGCGAACCAGCACCTCCAGGGAACGCTCTGCGCGGAAAAGCACGTCAAGGGAGCAGCGGCAGGGTGTCCCTGACACCAGAATACCCAATTTACAGAAGAATGATGATGGTAGCAAGAGGAAAGCGCGAGACTGCGCGGCAAGGAGCCACGAGGGTTATCACGCAACGCTGTTGGACCCGCGTTGAATGTGGCGTCGCCGGCGGCGGCCAGAGGCCTGCCGTGCACCTTACCCCACGGAGCCCCACGGAAACCGTCCTGCACAGCATGAAGCGGAGAGTCTCCACGTACGGCCGACGGCTAGTGAGACACCAATCCAGCCGAAGTGGCTTATCTACCCAATAGCATGACGACCAAACGTATGATGCACCTCGTGGAACAAAAATCCGAGAACGAGAAAAGGCTTATAGTTGAACCACACCTTGGCTGTTGCACACTGCTGCCGGTACTTCAGAGTGGAAACTAATGATGATCGGTGGCGTATTGCAGGAACATAGGAGATCCGAGAAGTACAGGCCCGAGGAGCGAATGAGGCACAGCGACTATAGATATTGATGATGATCATCACCATCGTCATGAGGATGATGATGACGGTGATGGTGATGGTGATGATGATGGCACTGGTTGGTGATGTTGGCTGTGATGGTGGTCGTGAAGGTGATGGTGATGGTGGTGGTGTTCGTGGTGGCAAGTGTGATTGTGATGGTGATGGTGATGGTGACGGTGCTGATGACGATGACGATGACGATGGCGACAATGAGGATTTGTGGAGGGCAGAGGCAAGGATAGGAAAAACGGGAGGGAGGAAGGAAGGAAGGAAGGAAGCGACGCAAGGCAATGTCTCTCGAACAAAGCCAAGACCACAGGATGGCAGAGACAAACATATGAACACGATCTGGGCGAAGAACCCAGCCATATGTAGTTCTACGTAACGAGGTTGCGAGAATCCTATTCGGTGGAGCCCATGATGGGCCACGAAACACGTGAGGGGTGTGCCAAATCGGGTGCGGGCCGCCATGCGAACGCAGCCACTGGGGCTTTCGGTGGAGCTGCCTGTGGGGCCACGAAACGCGTGAGGAAGCGCCGATCTCGGTGCGACGCCTGCAGGCGAACTCTGCAACTGGGGCCTTTGGCGGAGCTCCTTGAAGGGCCACGAACACTGCGAGGGGTGTGCCGAATCGGGCGCGAGATCGCCATGCGGACGCGGCCATTAGGGTTTTCGGGTTGAGCTCCCTGTGGGGCCATGAAACGTGCGAGGGGTGTGCCGGATCGGACCGGGGGCCGCCATGCGACGCAACCATTGGGGCGCTCGGTGGAGCTCCTTATGGGGACACGAAACGTGAGGAGTGTGCTGAAAACGGTGCGGGGCCACCATGCGAACGCAGCCATTGTAGCCCTCGGTGGAGCTCCCCATGGGGCTACGAGACACGTGAGGGGTGTACCGAATCGGGTGCGTATGCGAACGCAGCGCTTGGGGCTTTCGGTGGACCCCTGTTCACTGGAGCCACGAGACACGTGAGGGGTGTGCCGAATCTGGTGCGGGGCCGCTATGCGAACGCAGCGCATGGCGTCTTCGGTGGAGCTTCATTTGATGGAGCCACGAAACGTTTGATGAGTGTGCCGGATCGGAACGGTGGCCGCCATGCGAACACTACCATTGGGGCGCTCGGTGGAGCTCCTTATGGGGCCACGAAACGTGAGGAGTGTGCTGAAAACGGTGCGGGGCCACCATGCGAACGCAGCCATTGTAGCCCTCGGTGGAGCTCCCCATGGGGCCACGAGACACGTGAGGGGTGTACCGAATCGGGTGCGGAGCCGCTATGCGAACGCAGCGCAGCGCCTGGGGCTTTCGGTGGATCGCTGTTCACTGGAGCCACGAGATACGTGGGGTCGCTATGCGAACGCAGCGCGTGGCGCCTTCGGTGGAGACTCATTTTATCAAGCCACGAAACGTTTGAGGAGTGTGCCGGATCGGGCGCGAGGCCGCCATGCGAACGCAGCCATTGGGGCGCACGGTGGAGCTCCTTGTGGGGTCACGAGACGTGTGATGGGTGTGCCGAAATGGACACGTGGAGGGTTGAGGCAGGGATGGGAGGAGTGAGGAAGGGGAGGAGGAAGGAGGGACGCGGGGCGATGCGAATTCGAAACGAGGAATCAACACCACAGGGCGGTGTTGGACAAGTATTGTTATGCAAAAAAGTTGGCCTGGATTCTTGAAGTTCTGCGCTCGTGCTCTTCCCCACCATCAACCGCATCAGCGCCATCGCATCACCGCCACCATCGGCATCGCAAATCGCAACCATTGCTGCCGTGTTCAGTCAATCACTTTCATCACCGAGACATGGAAATCATCGTCGCCACTGGCATCGGCGCCGTCATTGGTCTTGCTGTCGACCATCGCTACTATCATCATCGTTGTCGCCGTTGCCGACGTCATCATGATATCGCACCCGCCCGAATCACCGACCCGCACTGAAGTGCCCGCACGCCAGCACGGCCTCTGACACACGCTGGGAAGTTTTCTTCGGCAAGCGCCATCGCGGTCGCATCAGTTTTGCCATACCAGTTGGCCGCGTTGCGCGTGAGCTTGCGCGCGCCTGCGCGGCCGCAGAGATGCACCAGCCAGGGCCAAACAGTCACCGCAATCGCGTCCGCATGGATTTTGGAAAACAAGTTGGAATTGAATCCATGAATTGACGAAAAATAGCTGCACCACACCGCTTACACATAGCTTACACCACATTGGTAACACCACATCGCATACACATGCATGCATGCATACGTGTGCGTGTGTGTGAGTGTGCGGTATCGGTTGGCAGCTTGCCCAGGGTTCTGTTTGGCCGCTCCCCTCCTGGCCCCTCGGGCAGCCTGGCGGTCGCGGGCTCAGAGGCCAGCGCGCCACCCGCTGCCACCGCAGACGCCCCGACGGAGGCGCCGCCCATCGCGGACGCTGTGATGTTGTCCGGCGGCGGCGCAGGCCACAGTGATTCTTCATGTCGAAAAGCATAAAGCGTTCGGTGGTCGCGCGGACTTAATGAGCGGGCGCTGAACCCCCTGGCGGCGCTGGCGCCGCGTCTGCCGCGTTTCGCGCGCCGGGGGGGCCAACGCCGACAAAAGAAATCCGCAGGACCTTGTGAAGTTCATGTTGATGTATGTGTGTCTACGGACGGACTCCAGGGTGCAATCAGGAACAGCAAGCAGACCCTCTAGAAGCCAATGGAGTAGCCCAAACGTCTCCGAATTCGGCAGGTCAATTCTCTTGTTCGCCTTTGGAGGATACGCGTGCCTGCTCTTGAGCACCCGCTGTGCCCGTGGACAAGGGACCGTGGGGCCCATGGGGCTACTTTTCGTACGCCCTCGGGTGGGTGGGCTCTCGTCCGCACGGACGGGCGCGGCTCGCAGAACTGGTGCACGGGACCAGTCAGGGGCTCCCTCGCCGCCACACGCCCGGGCGCGGCTCGGGAAGCCAGCCGCGGTTGCTCAAGAGAGCCTCGTGGGTGGAGGCTGTCGTTCGGCCCGGCCTCTGCCGAGCAGACGCTGCTGGGGCGGGTCGGAGGCCGGGCTGCGCCCTCAAGAGGCGCCCTCCAGAAGGCACGGGGCTGTCGTGCGGGGTCCGGCACGGCCAGGGAAGGGGAAGGGGTGGGTGGCGAGACAGCTAGCACAAGAAACAAGGCGCCCTCCTCCTCCTCCTCCTCCTCCTCCTCCTCCTCCTCCTCCTCCTCCTCCTCCTCCGCCTCCGCCTCCTCCTCCTCCTCCTCCGCCTCCGCCTCCTCCTCCGCCTCCTCCTCCTCCTCCTCCTCCTCCTCCTCCTCCGCCTCCTCCTCCTCCTCTTCCTCCTCCGCGCCCCGGGCGCCCCGTGCTGGCCCCCACGCCGACATCCCGCTCCGACATCCCGCGCCGACATCCCGCGCCGACCCCGCGCCGCCCCCCCCCCGCGCGGGCGAGGGTCCGGCGCCGACGGCGCGCGGAGTGCGCCGCCGCGGCGCCGCCGCGGACCTCCTTTTGTCCATCTTGGCTCAAGATCGAAACGTACGGCCTGGTGCTTCGAGCTTGGACGCGGCCAAAGGCCTGGCCCGAGAGCCTTGGCCACAGAGGCGGTTGCGGCCAATATTATCTTGTTCAGCGTGTGACCTCCAGTCTCCCTCTCTTATTGCTGACAGTACTTATCCTTCATATTTTCGTCTAGCATATGCTCATGCCAAACGATGGGACCTCCGCTTCTCGCAGCGAACGTGGAGGGTCGAAGCACCATCGCCGACGCCGATACGACCGACGGGATGAACGCCGCCGTGATCGACGACGGGATCGCTCGTCTTCGCGTTCCAGTCGGAGCTCGCCGAGGGATGCTCTTGCCTCACCTCCACGCCACCACCATCAAGGCACTGCTGGCTCTACTAGCGGCCACCGTGGCCCTGGCGCTGCTCATCCATTGGCTGGCATTCCACATGACGAACGGGCACGACTCGCTGCAACCGCTGATCTCGCACCGACGTTCCCTGACCATGAACGACCCCCACCACGAGCTGAGGCCCCACACAGCCGCCCCGATCCTCTTCAAGGTGATGGTGATCCTTGGCGTGAGCAGCGTCTTCAGCCGGCTCCGCTCACCACGGTCGACAGCATCAAGGCCGCGGTCACGGCGGCCTTCCAGCAGCAGCTCGGGGGGATGCGCACCGAGGTCAACATTATCATGGGCACGGCGCACTCCAACATGCGGGACACGGTGCTGGAGCTCATGCGCCCCCAGGCGGCTCGGTTGGACGGTCATGACCACGACATCAGGCGACCCCAGGACAAGACCGACACCATGGCCCAGGACCAGAAAGTGCTCCGCGACGACCTGGACGCCGTGCAGCGGAGCCTTGCCCAGGCCCAAACTGCTCAAGAGCCATCGACCTTGCCAGGCTCGCCACCTACGACCGCCCCGCCGACCCGAGCGTCTTCCGCATCGGCTGCTCCCAACCCACCGCCTTCAGCGAGATCGAGGTGGCCATCGCCGATTGTGTCAAGGACGCGGGCCTGGAGGCCAGTCAATTGGCTCTTCATGGTGATTCTCCTGTTCTCGGCATCTTGCAGCGCACCTACCAGGACAAGGACAGGGAGCTCCTCAGGTCCACGGGCATCATCAGCATCAACGCGACGCCCATCGTGGAGATCTCGCCTCAGGGAGTGGACGAGCCGACTCGATTAGCACGGTCTCCGCAAGTGGTAATAGAGCACAACATTGATTTCCAGGGTGTCAGCACGCAGTGCAAGCAACAGCTCCAGAGCGTGGACACTTCAGCATGCACTTCATCCTAGCAAACGGTTCCAGCCCTGGGAGATCAACGGTGGAGATCGGCGTGGTCCACGGGTTGCTTCGTGGAACGCTCGCGGACTTTGCCGCTGGAACCACAAGTTGCGACGTCAGATGCTCAACAAGATCAAGCACCTCCTCCTACAGCGACACCTGATTCTGGTTCAAGAAGTACACGGCAACGAGATGACGCTCACCACGTTACTGGACCAGCTGCCCGTGCACTACCGTGTCTTCTACAGCGACTTCTCCACCGAGCATGCTGCACCACGCCCGCAGGTCCCTGCTGCTCCTGCACTAGCTGACGGCGAGCCTGCCTCAGATGCAGTTGACCATTGCACTGGTGGAGTTGCTGTCATCGCGCCGTGGCATGCCCCTTCTCGTGCACGACAGCTCCCTGCTCACCTTCAGCCACAGTTCTCGCACACTGTTCTCGCCCCTGGACGGATTCACATGCTCGAGATCACCAACAGCGAGGGTCACGCGATCAGGGTCATCAACCACCACAACTACGGCATCGACTTGACTGCTCGGGCGGTGATCCGCCAGGCTTGGATGCGGCATCTTGATTGGGCACGACAGAACGAGCTGACCAGGCTGGCGATCTATGCTGGCGACTTCAACGCGTGCAACTACACGAATCAATCGCCCCTCTTCCCTCGCCAACGGCAGGCGCGGCGTTCACGAGATGGCGGGGCCACTCAGTCAGAGCCGCTTGGGAGATCTCCCTTCGATGGTGGCATGCTGGAGATCGAGAGCCCCCTGCCGACCTACCTTGACAGATCCTCGCACACGTTTAAAACCATCGGTCGTTTCTTCATCTCGCTGAGCACGCACTACGCGACGGATTGCGACATCTCGATCAACATCCTGCGGGAGGCCGACAAGTTGAGTGACTTCGCGCTTTCGGATCACGCCATCGTCTCTCTGCATCTTCAGCCTCGGCGCCCCCCACCTGCTGAGCTTCAGGGTATCCCAGCCTACTTGTTTCGCAATGTGAGGTTCAAGGAGATTCATCAGACGCGCATTGACTGCGCTGGTTTGGATGACCCAGATGCGCAGCATTGGTGGCAGAAGATCAAGGTCACGATGCACATGGCGGCTGGTCTCACCAGAGATCAACTGCAACGGGGTCTCCCACCTGACGGCGCTCAACCTGCTCGCGGCGCACGCGGAAGGGGAAGCGAAACGAGTTTCCCGAATCCAGATCCCCCCCCTTCTCTTACCCAGACCGATGTGGACCAGCTCGAGACGGAGCACCTGGCGCTTCGCATGGCGACTCGAGCTGTCTGGCGCCAAGACGCACGGCCTGCCCATGGTCTTCATGGCTCCTCTGCTCTCGCTCGTCGCTACTTGGCCTTCACGGACAGCGGCGTCGTCTACATTACTAATGGGAGACCTTCAGGAACCATGCGATGGACTGCAACCAGCGCCGCCTCGACGCGATCGGACAGCGCGCAGCTCGCGCTGGACGCCGTCGCCGACAGCAATCACAAGGTGATGACTCCCCAGCTGGCGTTCCTGAGATGGTCAAGGTACAGGTCACAAGCATGCGGCAGGCGCTGGCTTGGAACCCGACGCAGCGCCGGCTCGTCCTGAATGGCCTCAGGCACGATCAGCCAGCAGACGGCACGATCACCAGGAGCCCAAACCGACATGGCCAATGCGATCCGCGAGCACCGGGAGCCCGCCTTCGCAGCTGCCTCTGGCATCGACCAGGCCATCTGAATATCTGGACCAGCACCTTCCCCCCTTTCCACCACTTGACCTTCCCCTCCCTACTCCAGAGGACCTTACCAGAGCTTTGCGCCGAGGACGGGCCTCCCCCCCTGGCCCTGATCGTCTGCCGTACGCCGCGTGGAAAGCCGCGCCAGTAGCAGCTGAGATCCTCTACGATGCGTTGTTGCGGTTATTTTCAGGCGGGGGCCCTGTCGAAGGTTTGGATCAGTCGAATTTTGCCTTCATCCCGAAAGGAGAAGATCCACGAGATCTCACTGACTGCATCCGCGATGCGGCCTCGCTCAGAACTTGAAAGAACACCGACAGTAAAGCTCTCGCCCAAATCGTCAACACACACCTGAGTACAGTAGCCAAAGAACGTGTCCATAGGGCCCAGCAAGGCTTCATTGGAGGTCGCAATTTGGGGAATCACATATAAATCCCGACGCTGAAACTAGGCTGACCAGTTTGGGCGACGACGCCAGTGAACGGCGACCGCATTTCGTTTCCTTTGATTCCCGAGCTGCTTTCCCGAGCATGTCCCAACAATGGCTCCGCGCGGTGCTTCGTAGGTTCGGACCCCCCCTAGGCTACCTCAATGCGCTGGAAGCTCTGTCCGAGGGATCGGTCGGGCATTTAAACGTGGGTTCACAGCGGGTCCGTCTTTCCGAGATTTCCCGTGGCGCCCCACAGGGATGCCCCTTGTCCGGCACATTGTGGGCTTTGGGAATGGACCCGCTGGTCCGCCACCTAGCGCAATCGCGCGAGGCTGCCTCGGAGGTGATGGCCCCAGCTGCGCCCCCCAGGGGGTCGACAGGCGAGCGCGTTAGCCAGATGTTCCCCTCTCCTATTCCCACCGCCGCTGCTGGCGCGTGTGCCGACGACGTCGGTGTCTCTCGTCCCTCTCTCTCGTTCCTTCCTCTCATCGAACGACCCTTTCGGGAAGTGGCGGAGTTGGCGATGCTTGAGCCCCAGCCAAAGAAATGCTGCCTGGCTCCCACGCGGGCGATTTTGGATCCAGGGGAGATCGAAGCCCTTCGTGAACAATTCGTTCGCTCGTGCCCGCGTGGGCGGAGCTCACCATCTGCAGCGCCCGTCGACACCTTGCTATCCTGCTCGGCCCAGGCGCCACGGAGGAAGATCAATTCCTTGCGAGTGGCCAGAAATGGTGGCCACGCGGCCGCGCGGTAGCGGCGACCCGTGCGCCTGCGGAGACGTGCTTGCGGCTCTATAGCATCATCATTCACCCCTGTCTCTCCGACCTCTGCCAGTTTTTCTTTCTCCCTCTGACCCTTCTCCAGAAAGAGCTGCTCGCGCTGCACAAACTCTTACGTCTGCCACCATCTAGTTTCTCTCTCGCGGAGCTGTTGTCTCTCCTGTGGCCCCACGTGCCCGAGCCGCTGCGAGTCATGAATATCGCTGCGATTTGGAGGGCGGTGGGTCGGACGTTCAGAGGGCGGGGGGATTGTTGGTCGATGCCTCGTGCTAGAGCTTTCGCGGAGGCGCCCGCAGTTCAGGCGCTCCGAGGCCGCTGGTGCGTTCCGTGCTGGCGCACACGATTCAGCACTGCACGGCTATATGCTTCGCTCTTTGATCCTACCCTTGATGCCTCCCTCTTAGGTCGCCCCCTCTCGGCTGAAGTTGCCGTTCCTCCTGTCCGATCGTCTCCCCTGCTCTTTCTCGCTTTCTCGGTCATCAGGCAAGCTCATGCGTTCACGCTGGCTCGTGCGCAGGAGAGGAGACGTCGTCGCAAACCGGTTGCGTGGCAAGCTTTCTTCTCTGCTTCTCTTCGCTCCCAGATGCTACCTGATGGCATGTCTGCGTTCATCGGT